AATATATAAACACATAAGAAAGGTAAATGAAATTAGATTGACTAATAACAAATTAGATTAACATGAACATTGTTTAGAAAACATTATCACTACATACAAGAATAAGTAAAACCTAAAACAAGTTAAAATTAAAAATTCTCATAGTTATGTCAAACTTCCATCGATGTGGTCTTTTTTGTAGATCAAAAATTTCAGAGGTTCTTTGTTTAGTAGTTCAAATACGCATGTATCACCCATTTGTAATTCCTTAAAGGAGAGGAAATGAACCCAGCCTATAGTAAGACAGTGTATTTCACTATTTGGCCTTAAATTTGTGGTGATATCCCAATTCCGATGTAAAGAGTCATAGATTTGAACGCTGTGCAAGAATTTTGGCAAATGTTGCCTGGCAAATCTTCCTAGTACATACTGCAGAACGATGGACATATTATTAGTCTTGTAGTCATAATTATAGATTGAGCACAAATGTAGACTGAAAATATCCCAGAAAAAACATTACAATTTTTTGATGGCTGTGAAGGCGAGGTGTTAACTTTACTTCGAAAACAGGACTATACGTATTTGAATTGTTGCTTTCTTCACTTTCTTCTGGAACATCTGAGTCATATTTCACTTCTAACCCAAAATCGTCAATTATAGTTATGTTGAATGTGAAATTTTCAGTATACTCAAAAATCAGACAATAACCATCGTCTAAATTGTGGCGGTCGAAAAATTGCTCCCATCCATGAGTTAGATATATTTTCCCCCTAACTTCTTCTAATCCGATGGTCGCAAATATACCATCATATGCAATTACTCGTACTGTATCATCGAATTCGTGTCTCCAATGTTTCGCAAAAGATCTAGGCATCATCTATGTATATACAAAAGAAAAATATATGTAATATATTAGTAAAAATTTATTATAGTACAAAAAAAAATTATTGTATGACTAACCAGACTGATGCCGTGATTTAGTGAATTACTAATGGTTATGTAAAAACGACGTGGAATGTCCATTCTAAAATGCTATATATATATATATATAGCAAGAAGAATAAGAAATTATGTGCTTTTTTTTTTTTTTTTTTTTTTTGTAAAAGTCAGTCAATCCTCGAATAAATTGTAACTTAAAACTACAAAATTCCAGTTTTGAGAGAATAAATTGATAAGGACCTGTTTGAGTGAAGCATCGGTAAGCCTGGGGTAAGATATGGAAATTTGAAAGACAATAAAATTCATGTAAGTAAATATAAAAAACAGAAGAAACTATATAGGATAAATAAAATCTACTTTTTCTTTCTATTTAGATTTGACAAGAGAGTCATGGATAGTAAAAATAGAAAAATTATTACTGAAACAGGTTTGCGAATTGCAAAAATAGACAAATTATTATCGAAAATAACTTATCTCACTCTGCCCAAAAACTACTATTACAGAGAAAAAAAATTATTGAATCATGTGACAACCTACTTAATATCATGTATTTGTATAAATTATTTTCTTGTATATAAAAAAAAAATTATATTTGTGACAAGTTAAATTTTGTGCATAACTTATACATAAAAAAAATTTAATCCCTTATTCTCTTATAGTAAAAGGTACTTACAAATAAAAAATATTAACGTAAAAATTTTTTTAAGTATAAATATTTAAATATATTTAGTTTTCAAAATTAAATATATTAATAAAAAAATGACACTACATAGAATGTAAAAGTATAAGTAAAAAAATAGTTAGAGTTTTTTAAAAATAATAAAAAAACTTACAATTAGCGAAACTACTTATAGATAAATAAAAATATTAACGTAAACATTTTGAACTTAAATTTTTAAAATTAATTAATAACAAACAAATGACAAGAAGAAAAAAAATTAAACATAAACAAATTTACTCCGTGCATGGAGTGGGATGCACTACTTGCACGGAGTGTTAATGTCAATTCCTTTTTTCTATAATAATTATTATTATAGTAAATTTGTTTTACTATCCAATCTTTTTAAATTAAATATAGCTAAATTTTTACTTAATAATGTTGAAATTAATAATTTTTTATCTATAAGTAGCTTTTACAATTATAAATATTCTTATTAATACTTTTAAATAACTTGTTGTAATTTTTTTTTACTAACTTTTTACATTCTAGATAAAGTCTTTTTTTATTAATTTTTAATTTAAGCAACCAAATATATCTAAATATTTATACTTAACAAGTTTTTAACTTAATATTTTTCATGTATAAGTAGCTTTTGCAATTGTAAGAGAAGGTGAGATTAATATATTTTTTTTAACTATAAATAGCTTTTACAGTAATAAGTTTTTGTAATTACTTTTAAATTACTTTAAGTGCTTCTTTTACTTGTAAGTCATTTTTTACGGTGTAATCTTTTTATTATTATTTAATTTACTAAACTAACTATATCTAAATGTCTATACTTATGATTCATGTAAGTAAATATCGAAAATACAAGAATCTATAGGCTATATAAAATTTATTTTTCTTTCCTATTTAGATTTGACAAGAGGGTCATGAATAGTAAAAATAGAGAAATTATTACTGAAATAAGTTCACGAATTGCAAAAGTATACACATTATTATATTACTGAAAGGAACTGATCTCACTTTTCCTGAAAACAAGTATTACAGAAAAAAGAAATTATTGAAGCACGTAACCACCTACTTAATATAGAGTGTTTCTATACATATTTTTATTGAAGCACGTGACCATCAAAACAATTTTTTTTTAACTATTAGTAGCTTTCATGACTATATAAGTTTTTTTTTATTACTGTTAAATAACTTTATGTACTTCTTTTATTAATAAGTAGGTTTTTACATTCTAGATATCTAATCTTTTTATTAATATTTAATTTACTAAACTAACTATAATTAAATATTTATACTTAAAAATTTTGAAGTTAATATTTTTTTACTTATAAGTAACTTTTACAATTATAAGTTCGTTTTACTTTTGAATAATATGAAGTGATATTTTTAGTTGACTAACTGTTTACATTTTAAAAATAAAAAATAACTTTTATATAAAAAAATATGTTTAAAAAAAAAATTTATTACTAATAAAATAGTAAGATATGTTCAATACTTGATAGTGTGAAAATGTGAAGAAAGAGTTCTCTGTCACACGAAAGCATGTAGGATAGAATGGAAACAATATTTAATAATCATTTCACCATTTTCACACGCCATTTCACCGCAACCTCGCCTCAACTGCGATATTTTTCCATTTTCACGTGCGACTTCACTTCATCCAACTCAATATTCAATAATTCAATTCAATCAAAAGGACAATTTATGGACGAAAATTTTAGGTATGATATCTTGTCTAGATATGTATTCTTCTTCTTTTTACAGTTTCTTTTCCTTTTTGTTACATCATTTTAACATAAATATTTGATAATCTGAAAATATCGACGAGTTATAGACAGGTACCAAAAATATGTAACACTTCAATAGAGTATATTTTGATTAGTCATTGACATACTCTGTTACAATCAATGAATTACATTACAGTACAATCAAGGAGACTAATGAGGATGAAGAAAATATTCATTATTACATATATCAACTGCAATTTTTCGTCTATATATAGTCATCCTATCTAGTGAGACGGATTCCAATGGAGGCCCCAGAACAAAGTATTCTATATATTTAAGTACAAAGACTCCATAGTTCGACCTGTAAAAGAAATATTGTATGTTGTGCTAAATTGTTACATACAAATAATTATAGGCTATATTAAATAAGAAATTTTTTCAGCGCTTACCCGTTGTTTGCACAGGGTAGGTATTGTATGATCTATTGCTTCAGATCTTTATTTCTAGGTTTCCTTATATCTCATCTCATAGCAAAAACTTTGTCGAGCAATAAAGAATTGACCACGATAAGTGTTGCATTTGCATGTGCCTTCACTTGATCTGGTATATGCTTATTATGACTGAAGTCATATATCTAGAATTTCCACTCTGGAATATTAACTAAAAAAAGGTACCAACTATTCCTCGGATATGAGCATGAAATTAATAAGTAGTTATACCCTACCCATGGACGACTCTCTACAGGCAATTGACTGTTGGCATATTGGTTTAGAACAGTTCCGTCTGGTACACCTTTTTTAGTTCCCGCGGCATAATCCCCTTACCATATTAGCATAATAGCACACTCATTTTCAAATTTAAAGTCTATGATGGCATATTCTTTAGACACGAGGGTGCAACCATCATTAATGAGTCGCTTCAAGAATTTCAACTCCAACTCAATTGCCTGATGGAATAAATAGATACAAATTTAATATGTTAGGTATAGAATGAAATTAAATGTAATACCTAAACTTTACTCACCGCAACATTTATATCTATTGTTTGATCCAATAAATTTTTCAACCAATCTCTTCCATACATGTTCCCAACACTATCTTCCAATAATGCACTGCATATAATTACCTTAAAACTAGTGTTGAATAAATCTAAATTATATTTGACTATTTGGACCAGTAATAAAGAATTGTCTTGGTTACCTTGGTTCATTATTCATTATCCAGTTTCTAAGTGTCTTGTACTTTTTCATAGAATAGTCTTCCAAAGGACATCTTGTAGACAACGAAGTTTGTATCTGCTTTCCCTTCTTTTTCCTCTCTCTTTGCAGTGTTTCAACACTTTCTACTTGTTGAGATGTTGAAGTATCATTTGGTTGATCATCGGGAATCGGATCTCTACCAATAGGAACGTCCTGATGCGTACAACTTATAATGGCTTCCATATTTGATTGCCAGTCAGAAAACTTTTACAGCGTATTCTTATTTTGTTCATCAACATA